TAAAAAATTGTTAGGAAGATTCAGGAGACAACACATGTGAAAACAGCAATAATATAGTAAGAGTGCATGCTCACCTGCAGGCACACACACACACACACACACACACACACGAACACGCACATACTCACATAAACACACAGACACACACACATGCACACACAAACACACACATGAACATGCACACACTCACATAAACACACAGGCACACACACATGCACACACTGATATAAACACATAGGCACACACACAGGCACACACAAACACACACACACAGGAACATGCACATACTCACATAAACACACAGGCACACACACATGCACACACAAACACACAAATGCTCACATACACTCATATGCACACACAAACACACAGGCACACACACACAGGCACACACAAACACACATGCACACACACACACAAACATGCACACACTCACATAAACACATAGGCACACACACATGCACACACAAACACACAAATGCTCACATGCACTCATATGCGCACTCACAGGCACACACAAACACACAAACACACAGGCACACACAAACACAGACACACACAAACATACAGGCACACACAAACACACACAAACACATAGGCACATACACACATGCACACACAAACACACACAAGCATGCACGCACAAATGCACACATGTGTGAAAATAGAGATGCAACTGAATGACTGTTTAGGGTTTTACAGCTAAAATAACATCTCATGTTCTGAAAAGGCAAAAAGCTGTCATTGACAAATCACTCTGAAAATGCAAAGAAACAAGACCTACAGCTACCAAGAAAACTAGTGACATCATCCCAGAAACAACCCTGCCATTTTGACTAGCTGGCTTCGTAATATACTAAGTGTGTAGGAAGAAGAAACAAGCGCTGAACCCGGCTGGTTAACCACCAACCAGGCTGCAAACTCAAAAGCGACCCATTTATCGGTGAGATCTGTTCAAGCCTACAAAGGAAACTGTATCTCCTACATGTTCAGTGTCCAGTGAAATAAGATTTACACCCCACTAAGGGGTATTACACAGAAGAAGCCCCACCTTCAAATGACTGTCCAATCTCTCATAAGTCTTTTAAGGGGCATCGGTAACTCACCTGGGTCAGAAGATCGGAGAATGATATTCTCTTTCTCTAGTAGCCAAGCAGGTAAGCCCCCCTACGAGAAAAAACAACAGCCATTCGCCTGTCACTTTATGAGAGATTGCTGTCAGCAGAGAGGGAAAAGACAGGGGAGAAATGACCTGGGCTTCTGGGAAACTGCAATATAGAAAAATTAGATCTATTAATCTCATTCTGAGAATCAAGACACCCTCCCCCCTTTGGCTGTGAGCCACCATGTAGGTGCTGCGAATGGAACCCAGGTCCTTTAGAAGAGTAGCCGACGGGCTGGAGAGATGGCTCAGTGGTTAAGAGCACTGACTGCACTTCCAGAGGTCCTGAGTTCAAATCCCAGCAACCACATGGTGGCTCACAACCATCTGTAATGAGATCTGATGCCCTCTTCTGGTGTGTCTGAAGACAGCTACAGTGTACTCATATATAATAAATAAATAAATCTTTGAAAAAAAAAAAAAAAAAAAAGAAGAGTAGCCGACACTCTTAACTGCTGAGCCATCTCTCCAGCCTCTCTTTTTCTCCTCCTTTTCTTTCCTTCTCTCTTTATTCTTTAGTTTTACTCGCTGTTGTTTGCTTTTGCAGCACTAGAACTGACATGCTAGCAAGGGCCCTACCACAGAGCTGCATTCCAAAGCTCTTTAAAAAAAAATATTTATTTTATGTCTATGAGTACACTGTAGACTTCCACTCTCTTCAGACACACCAGAAAAGGGTATCAGACCCCATTACAGATGGTCGTGAGCCACCATGTGGTTGTTGGGAATTGAACTCAGGACCTCTGGAAGAGCAGTCAGTGCTCTTAACCACTGAGCCATCTCTCCAGCCCCTCAAGCTTTTTTTATGTGCACAGCTTCTCTTAATTTTATAACTAACCCATGAGGAAGACAAAACAGAGCACACTCCATGTCTGGGACAGAGGAAGCCATGAGGAAGTCCCCATGTCCTGCCTCCAGCCTGCTCCTCTCTGCCTGACGCCTCACTAAAGGAATAAACACTGGCGGATCACAGCACCACATGTTCTAGACTCCGAGTCTTAGATCACTTAATCCACTTTGCCCAGAGCACCACCCCCACCCCTGTCAGCCTCTCCTGCCGTTACTCACACCCACCAGACCGGCAGGGCCCTGAGACAACACACTCACCATATCCCACTCTGCGCAGATGTAGGGCCCGGGCCTCAGGATCACCAAGAGTCCCAGCTCATGAGCCAGCTGAATAAAATGTTCCACATCACGGTCCCCAGAAAACTCGTATTGTCCTGGCTGGGGTTCATGGAAGTTCCAGGGCACGTACCTGTGAAGACATACACGGCTGAAATTCTCCCAGGAAGTAGCTGAACGGGAGGGAAGAGAAGGGAGCCCAGGCTCTATGGCCTCTGGACACCACAGACTTAAGAGTGGAACATGGTAAGAGTGGAACATGCCATTGCTAACAAGGCAGTACGTAAGGGCTGCCAAGCCTGACCCAGGAGTTCAATCCTCGAACCCACATGGTGTAAGCCAAGAGCTAGCCTCTACGAGTTGTCCTGTCCTACACATATACACACACATACACACACACACACACACACACACACACACACACACACACACAGAGAGAGAGACAGACAGAGAGTAAACAAGGTATAATAAAAAAAAACACCACTTTTTAAAAGGAATGGGAGCATTATTGAGAACTCATACCCAGTTTATTGCAATACCGCACTGAAGTGTCAGATTGCCTCTGATCCTGGAAGCTAAGCACAGCCAGGATGGGCGAGTACCCGGATGGGAGTCACCGACTTGACACGAATCAGGAGGCTGAGGCATGCCCTCTCTCTGACACACTGGAGATGGTCCAGTAGGGCCACTCAGGACCTCATTCATTCTCTTGCTTCCTGACTGGTGATGGGGGGGTGGGAAGGACCGTGAGAACAGAGATCAACCTGTGGTTTTTTTTGTTTGTTTATTTTTGTTTGTGGTCTGGTAGGATTACAGAGGACGCTCTCCATACTGAGGACGTGAGTGATATTTACCAGCTTTATCTGCCCAGATGGATTTACTTCAGATGCTTCTTGGTCAGTCCTGTACCCTGTCTGCATCAAACTCTTCACTTTATACCCGTCTGGTTTGACACACTGAGAATCAAACACAGCCCTTGAGCATGCCCGGCAACTGCTCTAACATGGAACCCCAAACCTGGCCTCTATGGCAACACTCTATAGAAACTGTGACAGAAAAAAAAAATCTTCCAGCACACTGAAAGCTTTAACAAGAAAAATAAATGCACAAACTCTAAATATCGTGCTGAATTAATATGAGGTATGTATTTAAAAAATAAAGGTTAAGCAGAACATAGTGGCACTTGGGAAGTGGAGGCAGAAGGGTAAGAGTTAAATGGCCGGCCTGGGGTCACAATAAATTTGAGGGTAGCCTGGGCTACATGAGACTCTACTTGAAAAATAAATAAACGAAGTAGGTAGGTGAAAAAAGAAAAGAGAAAAAAAGAAAAATAAATAAAGAAAGAAATAGCTGGCGCAGCAGCATTTACCTTTAATCCCAGCACCCAGGAGGCACAGGCAGATGGATCTCTGTGAGTTCAAGACCAGCCTTGGTCTTACTCAGAGAGTTCCAGGACAGCCAGAGTACACAGAGAAACTCTGTCTTTCTCTCTCTTTTTTTATTTTTTCCCTATTTTCTTTATTTTTCCCCTTTTGAAAAAGATTTGTTTGCTTTATATATGTGAGTCTTCAGACACACCAGAAGAGGGCATCAGATCCCATTACAGATGGTTGTGAGCCACCATGTGGTTGCTGGGAATTGAACTCAGGACCTCTGGAAGAGCAGGCAGTGCTCTTAACCTTTGAGCCGTCTCTCCAGCCCGAAACACTGCGTCAAAAACAAACACTTTAATAAAAGTAAGAATTAGCCAGGCATGGTGCTTACCTGTTATACAATCTTAGCCCTCAGGAGGCTGAGTAGGATGGCGAGTTCTAGATTAGCCTGAGCTACACCTCTGTCCTATCTTCTTTAAAAGGAGTTGTGTGTGTGTGTGTGTGTGTGTGTCTGTGTGTGTGTGTGTCTGTGTGTGTGTGTGTGTGTGTGATGGCTCAGCGGTTGAGAGCACTTACCGCTCTTTCAGAGAATCTAGATTTGGTTCCTAACCACATGGCCACTCACAACTGTCTTGAAGCTACAGTTACAAGAGATATGCCTCCCTCTTCTGGCCTCTGAGGGCATTGCAAGCACATGATATATAGACATATACATGTTATATGAATATAACATATATATATTATGTTATGTCTACATGTACATCTATAACAAGAAAACAAAAATCCCACACAGTCTAGAGACCTACATAGCCTATGGTAAAGTCATTGCCCAGCATGGGCAAAAGCCTAAATTTGGCTCTCAGCACTGAAAACAAAACCACAGGAGAAATCTCCAACCTACAGGAAGACAAAAGGCTTTGTCAGGCATACCAGGCCAGGAATAGAGAGACCCAAACTGAACCAGCTCCCCCAGCTCTGGTGAAGATATACACGTGCACATTCTAATCACTCTCGGCACGAAAGCCTTGTCGATGAGCCCCACAGGCATCCTCCTTCCTCATCCCACTGGAACTCAGGGTGTTAACAACTGTGAGTGAGCTCAGATCCACTCTGCCAGGGGCCAAAAAGAAAAAAAAAAAAACAGAATAAATGGGGGACTCCCCTGGGTATCTACCAAACCCACTAAGGCTTTCTTACCCTTTATCTTTTAAGATGTTATCAGTAACTCACACCGGCTCTGCAAAATCCAGAGTGATCAGCTGACCCAGTTTCTTTCCCAATTAGTCATCTTACAGAATCAGAGGAGATAGGGGACATGCCTGTTGATGTGAACCTACAGCTTGGCTCAAAAAATTAATCCAGTAAGACAAGCTGGGTTCCAAAAACCTAAGCACAAAGCTTACTTCTTCCGAACTCCCTCACGTTTGGCTCCTTGCTGGACCTTGGACCGAAGACGTGACCTTGGCAGAAATTTAAGTTTCATGAGCTATAACCTGCCTTCATCTTTATTGGTGTATGTGTGTGTGCACACTCCTGTGAACATGCATGTGTACACATGTAGATCAGACGAGACCCTGTAGGAATCTGTTCTCTTCTACCATGTAGGTCCCCAGGATTGAACTCAAGACAGTCAAACTTGGCAGCAGACACCTGTACCTTCTGAGCCATTCTCTGGCCTTTCCCTCTTCAAGCTGATCTCAATTTTACGGTTTCTGAGGACAAAGGTGAAGGGAGAAGTACTTCACTATCTTTAGAAAGGCCAGTCAAGCTCCTAATGAGCCCCCGAGGAGTGCACACAAGGCTCTCTCCTACTTCTGAGTACCGCAATAGCTGATATGGGAGAAATAAAGCCAGGTGTGGATACTGGGGGTGGGTCTCGGGAAAGTGTCCTTCCTCACATCTGGATCGCATTCAGTCCAGCCATCTTCATCTTCAGCAGCCGGTCCTCCCAGTAGAAGCGGGGTATTCGGAAGTAGTGAATGCTTCCTGAGATGTAGCGGAATGGCTGCCCATCCTTGAGGAAGTGGTTCCGGCTGTAGTCCAGCTCAAATGTCCTCCGGGAGACATTCTGCAGGACAAGTAAGGGATCCCATGAGAATGTGAACCTTTACTTCAGAAGTGGAGCTGGGGGCAGGTGTCTTTCTAGTTAAGTTATACATAGAGGAGACTTACTGAGTTACATAGTAACTGATAAACACTGCTCAACCCAGCCAAGGTGACTTGGCCAATAAGTAACTGAGGAGGTTATCTCCTACTTTGCCTCTATACCCAAAATCTAGAGTCTATAGATGTTTAGGAGCTGGGACTATATCCACTGAGCTGTGTGTGAGGCATGGAGACGGGCACACACAGCAGCTCAACAGCAATGTCCCTCAGATCACCAAGACTATAAAAAGCAGGGCGTAAACCAAGGAATCAGGTGCTTGGGATGTAGTGTCAGAGAAGTGGGGGAAAGAGGATCAGAAATCCAAGGTGATCCTTGGCTTCACACAGAATTTGAGGCCAGCCTGTGCTACATGAAACCCTGTCTCAAATGCATGAAGCAACAGATCCCTGGATCCCCATCTTAGCTGCTGCTCTGAGTCCCAGAGTGACCTGGGCAAGCGTCCCTCTCTGACCCTATATCTCACCTGTAACCACCAGGGAATCGGAGGAAAGGAACATTCAAATGGTATTCTTGAAGCTATAGGGCACAACTCAGTTTGTGAGTTGAACTGAACGGAGTCTGGGGAAGTAAATCGGCACCTTTTCACAGGGACAGAGAACAGCGCGTCACACACAGCACAGTATTACCTCGGAAATGCCTGGCACGCAGTGTGAAGTTACATATATGTATCTCCACTGACTAAAATGTCAAAGTTTCAAGGGACCCAGTTTGGGGTTCCCATCAGAGCTGTTAGGCAGCATGGAACACTGCACCCTGGTGGACGAAGACAGGTAGCAACGGGCAGCAGGCACCCACCAAACCAGGGATACCAGAAGCCATCTCTCCCTATCACCCTAGTATTGAGGAGTTGCCACATGGACCTTAAAGCTTTCAGAGAACAATACCAGGAATCACCTGCATTATAACTGGAACATTTTGCGACAACTGTGAGAGTTCACACAAGGTCTGATATCCACCCAGGGAGTCGGCACCTCCTCTGATTCGTCAGAATCAGTTAAGAATGCCCCCCACCTCAGGCCTAGTTCTTTGCTTCTTCGTGGTATCCCTAAGGTCAAATCAGTGACAATTTAGGACCGACCACTTTATGATAGGACTGTGACTTCAGGTTGAATGATAGTATGAGCACTGTAGTTAAAGACACACACATCTGCTGCTTTACTGCTACAGTTAAAATTGAGCAGAATGGGGATTGTTCTGGAAAAGCTCATCCCTGGTGTATAGGAACTAGTTACAAGTGCCATGGGGCTGAAGAAAAGAGGCGTACAGACCCAGGACTGCAGTTAACAAGGACTTACAGAAGTATCATCCTAAACAGCAGAGAGACTGTCCAATCGCCCACAATTTGGGCTAGAAAATGAGGTGTATAGTCACAGGCCTCCCCTCCACCTCCCGATCCTCCTTGGATTCTCAAGCCACCGGCCACCAACCCCGTTTCAGGTTCTGTTTCCAGAGGAACCTAAATTAACATAAGTAGTACCAGTAATGGCCTAAGGTGAACGGTAACCTTGACTGTCTCCAAGAACAGAGACCAAAGGCTAAGTGTGGTGGTTGAGAATGGTCCCCATGGCCTCATATTTGAATGCTTGGTCCGCCCGCTGGTAGAACTGTTTAGAAAGGATCAGAAGGTGTGGCCTTGTTGGAGGAGGTGTGTCACTGGGGGTGAGCTTTGAAGTTTCTAAAGCCCAAGTCATTCCTAATCACCTCTCTCTGCCTCGTGCTTCTGGATCAGATGTGAGCTCTCAGCTACTGCTCTGACACCCTGTCTACCTCCCTGCTGCCCTGCTCCCTCCCGTGATCACAGACTCTAAAACTCTAAGCAATCCCCATAATTAAATGCTTTTTTTATATGTTGCCTTGGTCATGGCGTCTCTTTACAGTAACAGAACACTGACTAAGACAAAGGTATCTGTGAGGGAGTTTCCAGGGAGTTTTAAATGGTGGTGGGAAACCCACTCTGATTGTGGGTGTTACTATGCATGGGCTGGGGGCCATAGCTGAAGAGAAGACAGAAATCAGGCCAAGTACCAGCTCTCATGTCTGTGTTTCCACTCTGGACCCAATGTGACCAGCTGTCTGTCCCATACTCCTGCTATTGTGCCTTCCCCATCATGATGGACTGGACCCCCACACAACAATCCAAAAGCGAACCCTTAAGTTTCTTTTCTTTCTTTCTTTTTTTTTTTTTTCTTTTGGTTTTTCGAGACAGGGTTTCTCTGTATAGCCTGGGCTGTCTGGAACTCACTCTGTATGCCAGGCTGGCCTCGAACTCAGAAATCCGCCTGCCTCTGCCTCCCAAGTGCTGGGATTAAAGGCGTGCGCCGCCACCGCCCGAACCCTTAAGTTTCTTGTCAGGGTAGTGATGAGAAGTGTAACAAAGACACCCACATATGGGCCGTAGGCCAGCATCTGAAATTTTTAGAGATGTCGACTAGCAACCAGACCCTACAGCTAGTGTTTAATGGGTGAGCAGGGATACTCCAAAATGCGCACCAGGCCCCTCACCTATGCCAGACAGAGAAGAGGTCCAGGTTAAAGGGGGCAGGATTTGGCATGTTTATTTCTAAAACTTTAATGTGCTTGTGTGTGCGTGTGTGTGTTTGTGTGTGTATGCCTATAAGTGTACATGAGTGTGTATGAAAGCATGTGTGTGTGTATGTAGGTATAAGTGCATGTGTATGAGTGTAAGTGTATATACGAGTGTGTGCGTTCACTCAAGTGTGTGTAGCATACATGTGGTGTACATGTAGGGCACTGTGGAGTCAGACCCCTCTCCCCCTTTCCCTGGGTTCTGGGACAGAACTCAGGTCTTCAGGCCTGCACAGCCATTACACTACCTGTTAAACACTCTCCTCAAGCAGGAGTTGCCACATGACTTAGCTCTTTTGGTTTACCAGGAACTAGACAGACTGGCTGGTTTGTTTAGCAGGTTTAGGCCACTCGGTGCATTCTCCGAATGTCACGAACTTCTGTGACGGTGTCTACAGAGACCCTCATCTCCAACCAGAAAAGCAAGGTCGAGGGTTAAACCATGGTGGGAGCCTGGGAAGGAATCTAGAGGAGGCAAAGGACGATGTCCTAGGGGAGGACATGGGCATGGGCTATCTGCCCTGACTCACAAATTCATCTTGGTGTCAGCTCTAATACCTAAGCTCATGGGATGGTTTCTTGGACACACACATGAGACTACTTTGCAAGGAAGGGAGAGAAGACACCAGGGCTGCCCATGACTACGGGAGCAATGGAGTGATTGGTTCAGGGCGGGAGCAATGTAAAGACAGACAGGAGAGAAGCATACAATATAAGCTATGCCTGACTATATAAGCATATGCCTCAGGAGGCCCAAAGGTTGTACTTTCATCAGCAATACATAAGGAAGAAAGACTTTGGTAACCTTAGAAGGCCCGGAGCAGGTAGTGTCCTCAGTAGATGAATGAGGACAAAAGATATGGCCATGACCCTGGGCCCTCATCCCTGGGGACGGTAACATCCTGGCATTATCAAGGGGGATCACTGTAAACATCAAAACCTGAGGGACACAATTCCCAGTAGTGATCCCAGGCAATGGCTTGGAAACCACAGCATTCCTGGGTGCTGAGAGGGCTGCTAGAAAACTGAGGTGCCTTTTTCCAGTTCCCAGCTTTGAGTCAGTTTCCTGACACACTGCTAAAGGGAGGGGTGAATATGCCCTGAAGGAAGGACCCTGCAGTGTGATGCTTGCACAAGCAATAACTAACTGTTCCCAAAGCCTTCAACAATGGGGCTTCCTGTAACGAGGTACACCCAGGCCTTAGGCATACTGTTGGTACGGTCTTAACCAACACTAAGACTATGAAATGTGAAAGGCCACCATTCTCCTTTGCCACTTGCAGGAAGGCCCAAGTCCCTTACACAGTGGATCCCAGGAGTAGAGTGCATCCTACCATTATTTCCCTGGTCTGGATGCAAACCGGGGCCAAACTAACAACCAGCAGAACCCCCACCACATACAAGGGCTTTTATGGATCCAGTGAAAGTTCCAGAATTTTCTACTCTCCATCTCTTCCTTAAGAAAAACCCAGAGGAGACCACACTCCCGGAAGAATCTTCTCTCTCCATGTTTAAAGGTCATCTCCATGGAATTCCATCTGTAGCACCTATAGGCCCCTGCTAACAGCAGAGGACATGTTGTCCATCATGTTGGACAACAGTGAGCTATTTATAACAGCATGGCTCTAAGAGAAGGTACTACACAAATATGGGTTATCATAGGAACAGATAGCATGGCTTCCAGCACTTGGTTTGTTGACCACGTAGAAATCTTTTCAAACCCCGAGACACAAAAGAGGTCTGTTGTGAGCAGGCAGGAAGTAGTATATTGCCATCCATTGCCTCAGGGCTACAGTCACTGCCTAGCTCCATGTCACAGGAGACCACAAAGGTTAGGACATTGCAGGTTTGAATGTGAAACATCACCCATAGGCGCAGAGTCCAAACATCCGGTCCCCAGACAATGGCTTTGTTTTGGAAGGTTGAGGAACATTTGGAAGGCAGATCCTTGCTGGAGGGAGCGTTGCTGAGGCTAAGTCTACTTCCTGTTCCCTCTCAGCTTTCTGATTGCTTAGGCAGCACGATCATACCTTACCATGTTCCCCCCTCCCCCAACCAGGATGGACTGTACCTCCTCCAACTGTGAGCCAAAATAGGGCCAGAGGGTAAAGACATACGGCACCATGCGTGGCAACCTGAGCTTTATCCTCAGGACTCACATGGTAGAAAGGACTAACTCTGGAAAGTTGTCCTGTAATCTCCACATGTGCTCTATAGCATGCACACACATGCATGCATGTGCATATGCACATACATACATACCTACATACATACAAATGTAATACTTTTTTTAAAAAAATTATTTATTTCATGTA